AGAAGGTGAAAGACTTGTACAGTGAAAACTACAAAATATTTCTGAAAGAAATTAAATATGACATAAGTCCCTCCCACTGGAAGGCTTAAGATTGTTAAAAAGTCAATACTGTTTTGACACCTGACATAATCCCATCGCTCCTCATCTGTGGGGTAGTGTGACAGAATGGTCAGACCAGTATACTGGTCTGACACTTAATAAAGTGAAAAAAAATTTTTTTAAGTCAGTACCACCCAGACTGTGATCTACATATTTAATGCAATCCCTATCAAAAATTTCAGTGATGCTTTTTTACAAAAATTTAAAAATCCATCCTCAAATTCATATGGAATCTCAAGGAAACCCAAATAGCCAAAACAATCTTGAACAAGAAGAACAAAGTTGGAGGACTCACACTTCCTGGTTTCAGAATTTATCACAAAGCTACAGTAATCAAAACAGTGTGATACCAGCATAATGGAATTGAATAGACAGCCCAGAAATAAACACTCTCATATACTGTCAGTTTTCAACAAGGGTGACAAGACCATTCAATATGGAAGGAAGTCTTATCAACAGTTGACGCTGGGAAAACAGGATATCCACATACAAAAGAATTAAGTTGGACCTTTACCTAATACCATATACAAAAATTAACTCAAAGTGGATCAAAGACCTAAATATAAGTGCTAAAAAACTATAAAGCTCTTAGAAGAAAACGTAAGGGGAAAGCTTCATGACTTTGGATTTGGCTATGGTTTCTGGGTTACACCACCAAAGGCACAGGCAACAAAAGAAAAAAAAGACAAATTGGACTTCATGAAAACTTAAAACTTTTATGGATCAAAGGATACCATCAACAAAGCAAAAAGGCAACCCACAGAAAATATGTGCAAATCATATAACAGAAAGATTAATCTAGAATATAGAGAACTCCAAAAGCTCAACAACAAAAAACCTGATTCAAAAGTGGGCAAAGAACCCAAATAGATATTTCTCCAAAGATGATATACAAATGGCCAGTAATTATAGGAAATGATGCTTGACGTCACAAATCATTAGAGAAATGTAGATCAAAACCACAATGAGGGACTTCCCTGGTGTCACAGTGGATAAGACTCCATGCTCCCAATCCAGGGGCCCGGTTCGATCCCTGGTCAGGGAACTAGATTCCCCATGCATGACGCAACTAAGAGTTCACATGCCACAACTAAGACCTGGTGCAACCGAAAAAAAAAAAACAAAACAACCCACAGTAAGATACCACCTCACGCCCATTAAGATGGCTATCAAAACAAGCCAAAAAATGCAGAAAATAGCAAATGCTGGTGTAGATATGGAGAAATTGGAACCCTTGTGCACTGCAGGTGGGAATATAAAATGATGCAGCTGCTACGGAAAACGGTACAGCAGTTCCTCAAAAAGTTAAAAACAGAATTATCATACACAGTCCCACTTCTAGGTATGATTGAAAGCAGGGACATGAACAGATATTTGTACACCCATATTCATAGCAGCATTATTCACAACAGCCAAAAGGTGGAAGCAACCCAAGTGTCCATCAGCAGATGAATGCATAAACAAAATGTGGTGTACATACACAGAATATTTTCAGCCTTAAAAACATGCTGCAACATGGATGCTGAGAAATATGCAGTCACAAGAGGACAAATACTCTGATGCCACTCATGTGAGCTAGTTAGAGTGGTCCAATTAACAGTGACAAGGTAGAACGGTGGTTGCAGAGGCTGGAGAGAGGGGAGAATGGGGAGCTGTTGTTTAATAGGTTTAGAGTTTGTCTTGCAAGATGAAAAAAGTTCTGGAGATGGATGGTGGTGATGATTGCACAACAATATGAATGTACCTGATACTGAACTGTACACTTAAAAATGGTTAAAATGGTAAATTTTGGGGCTTCCCTGGTGGCGCAGTGGTTGAGAGTCCGCCTGCCGATGCAGGGGAGACGGGTTCGTGCCCCGGTCTGGGAAGATCCCACATGCCGTGGAGCGGCTGGGCCCGTGAGCCATGGCCGCTGAGCCTGTGCTTCTGGAGCCTGTGCTCCGCAACGGGAGAGGCCACAACAGTGAGAGGCCCGCATACCGCAAAAAAAAAAAAAAATGGTAAATTTTATATTTATTTTACCTCAGTTTTTTAAAAAATGATTTACTGGGGGGTAGTACTGGGGAGCTTGATCTAGAAAAATAGGAGTCCGTGGTCAACATGAGATATCTTAAAATCATGATTTCAAAGACGGTGCAGTTATTGAGAATGACTGTGTCTGGCCTCTGACCATGGGAGCTATTGGATAAGGCAGAGGGCAAGGATGAAACACCAGAGGAGGGGAGGTCTAGGAGCTGAAGCGCCTGAGTGTTGGGTAAACTTAGAGGACAGTGAAATGACCACGAATCGTGACGGGAGAGATGATGAAGAGTGAACTAGGTGCGTGTGGAGGGTGGGATGGCGCTGACTAGGAATCCGGGCAGCCACGGCACCCTCACTGGGCGGTGGGGTTAAACGCTCAGGCGTGTTAGTGCACAGCGCCTAGCAACACGGGGCACTCCGATGTCAGCCATCACATTCCTACTTGTATTCTTGAGTTACAATACCAGACACTGTCGTGTAGACTTTTAAGTGCTTTCATTTGATCAAAAACATTTCTAACGTACTTCTAAAATAAGAATTGTAAGTCAGAACTTGAAGGAAAAATTCACTCTGGGTTATTTATTTCCTTAACAGATTTTATTGCCTAAGACAAGGGTAGGCAAACTTTTTCTGTAAAGGGCCAGAGAAAATATTTTAGGCTTTTCGGGGCCCTATGGCCTTTGTTGCAACTGCTCAACTCTGCCCTTGTAGCAGGCAAACAGCCATACACAGTTCATAAACAAACAAGCGTGGTATTGAAATGAAAGTACTGTTTAAAAAAACAGTGGGCAGTGGGTTATAGTTTGCTGACCCTTGGCCGAAGACAGTATTTATAAGGTAGTGATGTAGGATTTTTGTACCTCACATGATATTCCTAAGGATTTGGTACGTTGTATTTGGTGATGCCTATTACAGTAAGATGATAATCTTAGACATAGGTGACCTTGCATCTTAACTAATCTTACCAAAGCCATGAAACTATGGCTTCATATTTGTTATACACATACTTGTTATGCTCTGATTATATAAGTCATTTCAAATAAAAGATCTTACTAGGTTTCAGGTCTAAAGATTGAGTAAACTTCTAAGAGGCAGAAAATGTTTAAAGCTACATTTTCTTATTGTGAATGACAGACATACCTTGGTGCTCTCCTTCCCTGCAGTATTTGTATTTTAATCTCTTTCTTGTAAATTTTTAGGGATCCAGATTAGATGATCAAAGATGCGCTCCACCACCTGCTGCCACAAAGGGACCAACAGTACCAGATGAGGACTTTTTTAGCCTTATTTTACGGTCTCAAGCAAAAAGAATGGATGAACAGAGAGTTCTTTTACAAAGAGATCAAAACAGAGACACTGAATTTGGACCGAAGGACCTTTTGCAGAATAATGCTCTGTTGGAACTTGAAAATTCAGGAAAAAAATAAGCAAACCACTAGTATACAATGAATATCTTTTTAAAAGCAACCTTATTTCCTTTCAGAACACTGCAGGAAAATTCAGTCTATTACTTTTTTCCTTCAAAGGAGAAATTATAGCACTGTACTGAGCTTAAAATGTTTTTAGCATGATGTAAATATTTAACCTTTGATAGCATAGTATTAGTTAACATTCCTCTGGACACTCGTTTCAGGATAGAGGTGGGATCTAGGGATCTGGGCCTTTGTTCTTTCTAAAAATCCTCCAGGCGATTTTTACGGGCAGTGAAAAATCAACTTTTGTGATTACTGCTTGGGATTATGTTCTTCTGCAACTTGTTAGATTCCTTTACCTAGTATTTGTAAAGTAGGAAGTTAAATGAATCTAGCCTAGGATTTAATCCTCTTGCTGAGGTAGATTTTTTTTTTTTTTTTTACTTTTAATTGACAATGGCTCTTTTTTATACCGATATAGTGGGAAATTATGCTACTTCATAAAAATAATATACTTGACCAGTGTGTAAAAAATTATACAGTCTATTAAAAAATCTAGATTTTTTTCCACTAAGAAAATCTCTATTTTCAATATAATTTTAGGCCAAAACCATTATAAAAGAAACTCTTAAAAATAAACTTCTTTAGCATGTTTTGGCCTCTGTGTAATTTTTTAAATAACTAATTTTTATATATTTACATATATAAGTACAGATATGTATATGTGTACATTTTGTGTGTGTGTGTGTATATCTATATAAAATGGTTTAAAATTGTATGTTCTGTTGCAAAATACTGTTGTTGTAAAACTTTTTAGGACCTAATGTCAGAAAATCCAAAACCCTCATGTGACTCTGTCAAGAACGTAGGTCACAAAAATTAAGTACGAAAGACGTAGGTTAAGCCCTCAGTTGTCATTAAGCCTCCTCCCAGAAACTGAAGGTGGTTTTACAAGGGGACATAATGCAACATGACATAAGTTTAGCAAAAGCAAGTCAACAAGGATGGGACAGAGCTGGGCCTGGACTAAGGCTGAATTGCATAATACAAATGCCCACGCCTGGAACAAGTTGGCAACTCATTCACCTCTGGTTGCTTCTGATTCTACACAGCTGGGATGGGATCTAGGGATCTGGGCCTTTGTTCTTTCTAAAAATCCTCCAGGATTTTTACGGGCAGTGAAAAGCACTTCTACAAATAGCTAATGTTTTAAAAAATGAGAAGAAAGACAGTTACACAATCTGGACTCACATTAAGGGCTCAGAGGAAAAAAAAAAAAGATACTCCTGGTTCTGAGATCAGGCACAAATTTTGTCAAAAGTACTAACACCTGGATTATGTTTTATGTATTATATATATAGGGTATAATGCCCTGGATTAGCATCCTTTTAAAACCTGCACTTAAATTCCATTGGGCTTTTTCTTACAAGCATATTTACTGAGCAAAGACAGCATACCAAACCACAATAATGTAAAAATAAGTGTTTATTTTGTGTATATGGCAGTTCTCAGACCCTGTAAACATTCAGCGTTATCCATTCCACTTAAAAACTGCTTTTGAAAAGCTATCTGCCCCACTCTGATTTTCCTAAAAGCTCGTTACTATCATCCTTGATTTTAATGATAAATATTGGCTAGACAATAAACAAGGCTGTTTCTTCTAGTTATAAACTGGCCTTGATATATTCAATTTGCTTTAATAAGTCTTCCCTGAATTGCTGTCACCTTTCAACAGCAGTACCTTGCTGCCCTGCTGTCAAAGTAGATTTCACCCCCAAATGGTTATCTGTAATGAAAGAATACAAAGGTGAACTTTTTCTTAAATTTTCTTTTAAAGATTCATTTTTGGATAAAAAGCAGTCAGAAGTGCAAAACAACATTAACTGTACTCTCACAGTTACAGTCTATCAACTGAGGCATTCATTTCACAGCTCAGAGGATAATTAGCACCTTCAGAGCATACAATCAGTGTGAACAGGCCTAGCCCCCAGATGACTACTTTATATTCATCGATGTTCACAAATCTATCCCAAACTGCTGGCATCCCTACATGCCTACTATGTTATAAAGTTTTATATAAAATCCTTTTGCATTTCTTGGAGAAAATTACCTTTCTGATGAAATACTGTTTGCAGTACGAAGCTAGGAAATAATATTAACACATAAAATTAAATTGTTACAGGCATCTAAGTGATGCTTCTGGGAGCCAAAAAGGGGGTATTTCTGCATTTCACGTAAAAAACATATCAAAAAGCAAATGCTGGGCTTCCCTGGTGGCGCAGTAGTTGAGAGTCCGCCTGCTGATGCAGGGGACACGGGTTCGTGCCCCGGTCCGGGAAGATCCCACATGCCACAGAGCGGCTGGGCCCGTGAGCCATGGCCGCTGAGCCTGCGCATACGGAGCCTGTGCTCCGCAACGAGAGAGGCCACAACAGTGAGAGGCCCACGTACTGCAAAAAAAAAAAAAAAAAAAGCAAATGCTTTAAATACATCTTTTTTTCTGAAAGAAATGCCTGCATGAAAATTTTAAGACCATTCCTGACTGCTATCATTTTTAGTAAGCAGCTGAATATAAATTGTAGTATGAAGGTTAAGATAAAGGATACCCGAATATGTGTAATATATGTGCTTCCTAGTTAGATCTTGTGAAAAATTTATAAATTCCTTTTTTAGAAAGTTTAAAATGAAGAATAGTTTAAAAATCAGAATAACTAATTTGAAATGTTGATTATATCACCTGTCTAGGGTTAAAAAAAAAATCCTACTCTGTTTTCCTTATTGTGGTATTTATTCCTCTCTTTGTATAGATCTCTAAAAATTAGAACTTCATATGGCTTGGACAATATGGTTTACTGTAATATAAATAAGATATAGTAATATCTAACAATCACAACTGCTGGGATTCTGAGTAGCAAGGAAAACAGTTCTTATAAAGCCTGTGTACTTCATCTGCTGGGGAAATAAAGCCATTCTCAAAGGATGTAAAACTGAGATTACTGACTTAACAAGCTATGTAATCTAAATTCCCCTGACAATCTTCAGTTCTGTCTTAGCTAAGGATAAAGTAAAGGGGGTGATAAGGAAGCAGGCCCAGTAATAGCGGTAAGAGTTGAGAGATGAAGGCTGATCTGCAGGCAGCCTACACGAGGCAGACTGACACTGGTGATGCAGACTCCGTGGCTGCACTAAAATGCTGAAGTGACTGAAGAGGGTAAGCATGACTACAGTGACTTTCCTTAAATGTTGGTTTTGAGTACCTACCACTTGAAATATTCTGAGTCCAGTGCACAACAAATAATTCTGTTAACTAAAGTAGGTATCACAGGACTTCCACGAGGCAACACACACTTTGGTGAGTTGGTTCCTATATATGCCTGTAAACAACAGAACTTCTTTTTCAATGTCCCCTAATTCAAACTGGCCTCTTTGATTATTCAAAATCATTAATGCTTGCCATATGTCATCTATGAGATCCTGTTCGAGAATTAACACTTCAAAACTTTATAATGCATCTTAATATCAAAGAAACATGAAATTAAACAGAGATACACGTGTGCTTGTTAATTCTGATTGTGAGTAAAAATACTGATGTTTAAGTTGGCACCTGTGTAGTAAATAACAGAATATTTGTAGAGAAGAAGAAATAGCTGTGAGGAGTATACTTTACAAAACTCAAAGATGACCTCAGAGCTGTGGTCCATGTCTGTGTTCCTCTAGCCACATGGGCTGCAGTCTGGATCCCTTCCACACACCCTCACTGCAGTGCTGGGCTGGACGTGCTGCCTTCCTCTGGGCCGCCTGTGGTGTCAGTCCTGAGCTGGGCCTTTTCCACTGCAGGGGAACCTTCCACACACTCTGGTATCTTTTGGCCAGAGACAGGCTTAGCAGACTGGCTGCTTTCAGTCAGTGTGCTTTCTCCTGAGATTCCACCAATTTCTTTGGGCTTTGTATCCAAAATAGGTGATTTATGCTACAAAGTAGAGAATTACAGTGTTTTAATTGTTTAACATAAATGTGAAAGTTTGTAATAAACATGTTCAACAAGTTCCCACACAAATCTGTTATAGCAAACGTTGAACTCTTTCAAGTCCTGGTTCCAGTGCTGGATTGTAATTAATAAATGCTATTAAGCCTCACAGAACTGTACATGGAGGAATGGGAAACTCAGGATATGCCAGGTGGTCTAGTGATGCAGCTTAAGGAAGGGTCAGGAAGACTGGTGACCAGTACTGCTAACTCCTCTTGCTAGGGAGAATAATTCATTCAACAAATATTTACTGAGCATACATTAAGTTCGAGGTGCTGGGGATACAAGACAACAAACAGACAAAAACCCCTGCCCTCCCTGGAATTTACATTTAAGCTGGGGAGAGAATCAGGCAATAAATTAACAAAGTATCATGCTGGGGGTGGGAGGGTTGCATAGCTGTTTAAATTAGGGCGGTCTGAAAAGATGACATGAGCAAAGGCTTGAAGAAATGAACCTTATGAATATATTGGGAACAGCATTCTAGATAGTGAACAGCAAGTACAAAGGCGTGAGTTCAAGGAATAGGCAGGAGGCCCTTGTGGCTGAAGGAGAATGAGGGTGGAGGGGGCGCAGGAGGAGAGAGCAGCGTGGTAACAGAGGTGGGAAGCCCTAGGCCATTTTGATATCTTTGGCTTTCCCTTCAAGTGAGCCCAGAACTCACTGGAGGATTTTTGAGATGAGTGACATATAACCATTGACTATTAAAGCTGAAAGGAACATCTTAATTTTCTAGACGCAGGCAGATATGTTCTTCTAAGGAACTCCATGGGAAGGGATTCTACAATTTCCTAGATTCTACTGCGCTTCTTACTATTTCTCAAAGGTTTGCGCCTGCAACCTAAACTTTGCAAATGACAATACAAAGTCCTCTCTCAAACAGAAATGGAAATGTCCCTTTAAATTGCCAATAATGGTGGAAAAGAGGCCTCACCATTCCACAGGTAAAAAGTATAGTCTAGCCAGCCAACGATATAAAAGATTTGGGAAAGCGAGGTGTTTGGTCCTTTCCCAGCTCACTCTTCCTTCTACCTAAGGCTTCAGGGCTCTCCTGTGGGTTGGCTCCCTAAGGCTCCAGGCCTTCAGTGAGGACTTCTCTCTGATCTCTTCAAAGGTAGAAATTTCAGTCATGCTCACTTGTTGGTTTCCTATGAAATGTCATTATGAATTACCATCTGTTCCAACAAATTACTGTTAAATACTATTTAACATAAAAATTAAATCTCATTTCTTCTGAGGAGGCTGGACTTTCAACCAGAAAGGGGGAGAGTGAATAATTATTATCACTGGTGATATAATTAACCATGAAAAGTAAAAGCACTTAACCAAAAGCACTATAGGAAGCACTTACACCTAGTATGAAGGGACAGCGAAATAAACAGTTGCTGACTTACACTGGGTACCACCTTGGGATGCTCTCTCGCCTCTGCGTCTGGTAAATCAAATGCCGGAAGCACTTCAAGGCTCTTGTTGCCAGTCTGAAATCTCAAGTCAACATCTCTCTCTCTCAAAACATCTCTTCTACCCTCACATGTTTTGTCATTAGGGCCTTGTTCAATGGGGCCAATCTGGCCCCTATAATAGAAATCTGCATCACCTGCTCCACCATGGGGTCTATAATCAATTTCCTGCTGCCATCTTCTTTTACCTGGCTGAAGTGCCTGGGGTGGTTCTCTTTCAGGGCCACCCACATGTCTCAGCATATTAACTGATTTTCCAGCACCATAGCAGAAACTCTAGAAGGAAAAGAAATACATATTCCTGAGTACTTAATGGCTGACTTACAACGAAATTTTGAGGTGCTTTCCACGGTGCCAACAAAATTTCATAACTTGTGGCATTTATAGATATAAACATCTTAATTTCACTGGGTTTTCTCTAGATTAATACAGGGCCAGAGTAGCCAAAAAAATTTGAGAAATCGCCAAGTATTAAGTAGACATTTCAATCAGCTGGACACATTTTTATTGAATTATAACAGCAGTTAGGCTAAAGCCTAGAAATTTAAAACGTATTAATTGTCTGATCATTGCTCATGTGTTGTCTACATTCACACACATCATATAAGGTAAATGCTGAAAATTAAAGTTGTACACCATTATGTAAATATTCTCCTGTAGGTTTATTTTTTACAAACTCGCTTTAGCTACAGCTAAAATTCAACAGGTTTTGAGTCACACTCCAAGGGAAAAACTAGGCAGCAGTTCTCAAAGTGTGGCCCAGGGACCCCTCAGGGGATCTCTGAGACTCTCAGGAATCTGTGAGGTCAAAAGTTTTCATAATACAAAGACATTAGTCTTCTTCACTCTCCTCTTGTACAGCAGAGTCTTGTGGGGCTACAGTGACTGCCTCACTCTGATGGCTCATGCACTGTGTGCTTGTGTATACTTGTATTTTAAAAATTTCTGGTAAATATCAATAAATAAACCTCCCACAAACAAGTGCTCTTTGTGGTGTTCAATTCTGAAGAATACAGAAGGGTCCTGAGAACAAAAAGTTTGAAAACCACTGTACTGGAGATACTACTCTTTGAAGACAGAGCAGCAAAAGGCCTTTTCTTAGGCAGCAGATAAAGCAACAAGCGATGAAGGGGTTTTGCTTATAATTTCAGCCTTAGAGACTAAACTACTACTATACAACTAATGTCACCTAACAAAACCATATCCCTAAACCAATGAATCCTAATCACAAGACAAAAAACAAAACAAGAATAATTTTTAAGTAAATAGATCATAGTGAATTTTGTATCCTTAAGGGAAGACAATGCTTTAATAATTTCCCCAGGCACATCTGAGTTCTTTGCATTTTGTTTTATGAGACAACTGCTTTATTAGGGTAAGGGCTGAAAATCAACCAAAAAAAGAGCTGAAGAGACCATGGATGACTGACAAGTAATACTGTAATATTCCTTAACAAATGTCTGCTCCTGGGTGTTTCTTAGTACACCCACCTCTTTCTACATCCCTTTCTGATGCTATGTTAAACCCACTGTTCTTCTGTTCTCAGTGTGGCAAAAATTCAGACTGAAATAAGGTCCCCTTTCTCAAAGAAGACATAACTGATATCATGTGTATTAATTCATGAGGTTTAAAGAACAAATGTTAAAAGAGGGTATTATTCTAAATCACCACTTTGACATCTACAATCAAACTCGAGAACCGTTTTCTTGCTTAGAGGAATGTACAAGTAAGTATAAACAAACATTTATCACTTAAAAATCATCTTTTCATACCATTAAGCATGACTTAGCCTGATTTACAACATAAAAGAAACCTAATAATTTCAGAATTGCCTTTTTTCTGTAAATCCTGTTAATTGTTAACAGTGCTATATACTAACCAGGACAGCTAATGCCATAATTATCAGCACTGGAATGTGTAGTAACACTGGGATCTCCTTCATGAGTGCTTTAATAAATTCACCAGCTCCTTTTCCAATATGCTTCAATGGCTCCGTGACAAAGTTGGTGAATGTAACTGCTAGTGCCTACAACAAAAGATAAAAACAACTTAATTTTTTTCCTCAAAGGATTGAGGTATATAGAATAAGCCATAATCGACTGTACTGAGGCTGAAATTGTGAAATTCCATACATTTAAATGTTATCATATACTTTTCATGTGAAAATCACTGTGTAATGGAAGTATTTTTTTCTAGAACAAAGGTTTATTATTAGCAAAATGATGGTAAAAAACTAACAATTTTTAATAAATACAGAGACTTTTTACTTGCTTTGTATAAGTAATTTTAACAAAATATATTCTAACCTTTGTTGGTGGGACCAACAAAATAGGGTTGACTAATAAGAGCTCATAGTATTTTTGGCATGAGTCATCCTTATAGGTCCATGAACTTCTAAGCCATTCTATTTAGAGAAACAGACAAAAACAGTCATTTTTTTAAAAAGTCACATTTCATTCCCAAATAAGACAATATTTTAGTTTTAACTGTCCCTCTCCCCACAACCCCCAATCAATTTTAAATTGTTTTGCAAACAGTCTCCCAGTAACAGTGATTTTTTAAAATTTCATCTTATGTCCAAAATGTTTATTCTAAAAATCCATTCAAATTATACAACTCTTATACAGGTAAAATATATTTTATTAAGATTTCTAAAAGGTAAACAAAAACAGTTCTTTACACACACAAAGGAATCCAAGTAAAACTGGGGAAATCTGAGTAAGATTGGTGGCTTGTATCAAAGTCGATATCCTGGTTGTGATACTGCACTATTGTAAGTATGCAAGATGTTACCAGTGGGGGAAGTGGGTAAAGGGTACACAGGATCTCTCTGTTTCTTACAGCTACCTGTGAATCTACAACTATGTCCAAAAAATTTCAATTAAAAATGTCAGTTCTTTACTTATTTTACAAAATAAAGTAGAACATTAGTTCTCTCACTTTTTCTAAATCAGACTCATGTACATTATGTACTAGCAAGAGCTACAGGAGGCATTTAGTTGTCCCCTGAAGCCAGGAAGCAAGGCTGGGCTGGTTTGGCTCCCGTATCTTTTCAAGAAAATTAATTTTTTGGACACCTTGATTTGTTGCTGAGATTCTATTCTGGGTCAGTCATTATAGACTTGCATTTATAAAGAGACTTTGATCATCAAACCATTCCCACTGTTAGATACCTATAACTGAAGGCAGTCAACATTAGTGAGTGTTCATAAAATTTGTAAGAAAAAGTAAAATAATTCCTAATTTTTAAAAAAAACAGTAAAGCTACAATAAGATTTCACACGTCAATATAAGGAGATTAAATCGAAGATGGAAATGAATTCATATATACATTGATTCACTTCTCTAATAAACTTCTGCTGAGGACCCAGAATGTGCTAGACACTGTGCTAAGGACTAGATGAACAAAAGCGAGTCTAATGCAGGGAGACAGATAACATAAGAGCCAGCAATATACACACTTTCTATCCCTTTCCTGTCACATTACATGAACACAAAAGTCACTGGTCTGAAACCTAAGACTCTTCTTGCCTGTTCTGATACTAAAGATTCAGTCATAGAAAGCCTCCTTCTGGCATTTTATCATTTCTTTGTAATTATTAATATGTTTTTTCATTCTCAGAAATTCTACTCAAAATAAGGCCAAGGGAACCAACACCTTACCCAGGAGACTTCCAGTCCAATCCATGTTCTCAGCACACACATTGTTTAATGGCTCCATCTTGGCAACTTCAGCCTGATGCTGGGCAAAGGCTAGCTGACCAACACCAAAGGGAACCATGAAAGGCTGCTAACAATGAAGGTTACGCCTACACATCCTAAAAACCTTAGTTCAAAGTGTGTCTTCACCATTCACCCAAACCAGATTATTTAAAAATTTTTCACAGAAAAAAATATATTATTTTTTAAAAGTGGCTCTTTTCAGCTCATGACAAAACAGTCTTAATGCAACAGGTAAAGAACTAACTACAATTGCCTTCTTTATAAAGTAATTATGAGGAGGAAGGAAAACGTTTTTACTAAAAAGATTGTTTTAAAAATTAGTTCAAATATAGCTGATATCATGCCCCCAAATATAGCTATACATATTAAACGACTACTCATTCTCTTACACAATTCATGACAAAATGGTGTTTTGCTTTGGATGATTTTTAGCACAAATGACCAATATGCCTTTTATAAATAAAAGCCCTGGGGGAAATCATTGACAGAACAATTTTCAACCAAACTACCTTCTTTCCTCCAATTTGTAAATACTTAGTTCTAGAAGTTATAGAACTTAGAGCTAAGGAAATATCACAATGATTTAATCAGATGAATTCACTGAAAATAGTTGGCTACTTGACTCACCCTGCTAAAAAGGTCTAAAATTTTCCTTAAATGATTATGCTATTTTGACAGGAACAATAATGCTTCTTCAAATTTCTATATATAATGTGGTCCTGATTTTTAAAGAATTAAAAATTTGGAAAAAGTTTATAAAGAAATACCTCAAAATATCTACAGTGATTATCTCTAGGTGGTAAAATTATAAACAATTTTATTTTATTTTTTGGCCACTGCACGCAGCTTGCGGGATCTTAGTTCCCTGACCAGGGATCGAACCCGGGCCCCTGGCAGTGAGAGTGCCGAGTTCTAACCACTGGACTGCCAGGAAATTCCCTAGACAATTTTTAAGAATTAAATTTCTGTATCTTTCTATCTTTCCTATCTTCTCTACCATAAATATACCACTTTTATATTCAGAAAATAAACTAATTTTTAAAAACAGTATTTTGGTATCACTTCTAGCAAATAAAAAGACATACCCCAAATTACCTACATGAGAATTTTTCAAGTGTGTCTACATAACTCTATTCTGATTTAGCTGTCCAGATGCCACCCAACATCAGGAATTGGGTTATGAAAATCAGGACTGCACATTTTTCCCCACTAACTGGTCAAGGACCCAAAACACCAGGGACACATGAGCAGCTGCCAATTTCCTCACCATCACCACCTCCAATCACTGCCTCCTGCCCTCACCTGAGGCAAGATTATATACTAGCTCTAAATGGATTACAGTCTTTCATTATGAAATAACATTTGAAAATTTAAAAACCTTCTATCTATACAATACCTTATATAAATACATCCAATTCCATCCCAAACTGATGAGAAAACTGATGAATAAAACACGTCTCAACTGGGTGTACCAACGAACATATGTCCACAGCTCAGTAGCTACTAACACCACGATGCAGAGCAGACACAGAAGCATCTCAAAAACAGAAACAGAATAGAAAGAAGAGTCACCGCCAAGCCGTCCTTCCCAAAAACAACACTGATCGTCAGCAAAAACAAAAGAACTGGACTTGAATACGCAAAATCATTTGTACCATTTTGCTGCATGTTCGTCAACCCAGTAACAGTGACTTAGTATGAGCTCTCAACATAATTATGGTGGGGTTTTTTAAGTGTTTTAAAAAACAAAAACATGTTAAAAATAAAAACATGTTAATCATGTCCCCCCTCATCCCATCTTACCATGAATACATTATATAGATCCACTCCAAAGGAATCTTCAAATTGCCACTTCCATGTTTCAAAATTATGAAACTTAAAATTAATTAAAATATCACTTAGTGCATCATCCAAGGCTCCTGGCTTCCAATCCTCTCCACTGAGAAACTTTTGTATTTCTAACAAGGTTTGTCTTTTAAGGATAATCTCGGCATCATAATGCATATCACCTTTGTTTTCATCAGGCTGAATTAAATTTGCCAAAAAAAAAAAACAGAAAAGGAGAATTTTATCATTACTCAATGAAATATTTTAAGACAAAAGCTAATTTGGAACTAAATATATAATTAGTTCACAATATTTCACAGGTATAAAATAAGAGGAATAATATCTACCTGTCTGACTCACAGGCCAACATGAAAACCAAAGATAATGTGAAAAACACTTCAAAAATTATAAAACTCTATGCAAGTAACATACAGTACATTTTACTAAATTACAGTTGATTCCTGCTATCTGCAGTACTTACATTCTATAAAGTCACCCTGAACACTAGTTAGCAAATACTGAACCATGGCTCCTACAGGAAATACAGGGTTAGATTCCTGCAAGCACATTTTCATCAACCAATCAATTCATAACCTTTTTATGTTACTGTTTAAAGACACCTTAATATAGGGACTTCCCTGCTGGTCCAGTGGGTAAGACTCCACGCTCCCAATGCGGGGGGCCCAGGTTCAATCCCTGGTCTGGGAACTAGATCCCACATGCATGCCGCAACTAAGAACCCCGTGTGCTGCAACTAAAAAAAAAAAACCATCCCGCATGCCACAACTAAGACCCAGCGCAGCCAAAATAAATAAATATTGAAGGAAAAAAAGGAAAGAAATTAAAAATATAAATAAAGACACCTTAATATATATACTGTGGATCCATTAACACTGAGCTCATAGCCAACAGCACTATGACTAATGACTGAACTAAGCTTAACTAACAAGGGAATTTTCTTTAAGGCACATCTCAGCCTTCTTGTGCTTAGGAACACTAGTGACAGCATAACACTTGGGAGATTTTTTTTTTTTTTGCAGTAAGCGGGCCTCTCTCACTGTTGTGGCCTCTCCCGTTGCGGAGCACAGGCTCCGGACGTGCAGGCTCAGCAGCCATGGACGCACAGGCTCAGCGGCCATGGCTCATGGGCCCAGCCGCTCCGCGGCATGTGGGATCTTCCCAGACCGGGGCACGAACCCGCGTCCCCTGCATCAGCAGGCAGACTCTCAACCACTGCACCACCAGGGAAGCCCGGGAGATTTTTAAACAGCAAAATTTTTAAAATTAAAAAAATGAAAGCCCGAAAAAATAAACAGACCACATAAAAGTACTTGTTTATAACATGAGAGCTGAAAACAAGAAGACAAAAAATGGCCTTGTTTCACCTCAGCTGAGAATGGGCTCACTGAGCAACTCAAACGTTTTGTCACTCCGCGCATATCTGAAAGTGACCACAAAAGCAGGAGTACTGATTCTGAGGTTACAAATAAAGTTTAATATTTGAAATATTCAAAAATATGGAATCCACAAATAATGAGGATAAACTATCATTATTTTATGATTCCATTTATGACTTTCCATTTGCTGACACAGTTTTCAAATAGCCTAAAATTTGCAGTAGTACAAATAAGAAAAACAAAAAGGATCTCAAAAAGCAGCAAAATCTGGTTTCCATAAATATGCATGACAGTCACAACTATATTACTGAGAGTTCAGGTTAGCAAAATCATTATAAACATTATCTTTTCTAATAGTAAATACTGATATTTATATTAAAAAGTAAATATAAAATAAGAAAAACCAAAGTGTCATGTAATATCACAAATCATCAGTAAGTATAAAAAAGTGTCCATTGATTAATATTTCTAAAAGACCAGGAACGAAATATTCCAAGCATCTCCATCTTGAGTATTTTCTGACTCTACCTGTTTCCTCATCTATAAAATAGACTCTTTTCCACCTTGCACTCAGTTATGAGACTCAAACTGAAGGGTGTACATGTGAGTACACCTGCTTTTACATCTCCAAAATAAGGTGGGATTACTATTCATCTAACACCCCCTTTTTTTAAGTTTTCTTGATGTTTCGACTCCTCAAAGTGAAAACAATGACTCTAAAAAATGGAATCTTAACATTAATCATGAACAGTATGTGCCTGATATGTAATTTCTATAAAGCAGCCTTGCCACAGTAAACAGCTAGGGGGAAAAAACTACTTAAAACACACTTTTCTTTTTCTCAATATGTAATATTACATCATCTGAATAAGAAAGTGTGGAAGTGGTAGAAAACAAGAAGTAAGGACTGGGATAGAATTTCCTTACCAAGTCATGAGTTTATTAAGTTTCTAACTGTTCAGTAAAGTTCAAATAGCAAATTTAAAACAACCTCCCTCTGGACTTCCCCTTCACCTTCCAATACAGGGAGGTGTGTGTTCAATCCCTGGTTGAGGAACTAAGATCCCACCTGCCGTGCAGGGCAGCCAAAATTTAAAAAAAAACAACAAAAAAAAAACTCCCTCTCCCTCCAACTCAATTAAGTGGTAGGGCAGTGCACAGAGTAAGTAAATCCCCATGAACTACAGGAAAAAGAGGAGGGATCTGCACTGCTCACTTGCCTTCCACCAAACCACTGTAAAGCAGGCAGCTGCCTTCAATCCTGCATGAATAGGTTTTGATAAAAGGGTGAGTCAGGTATTCTCTGTTGAAGCATGATGATGCTTTGCCACTGCTTGATATAATGTGAAATTAATAAATAATGAAAATATCCACTACACTGATTAGTATCACACCACCAAATACTCACAAGGCCAAGCTTTCTGGTTTCAATTAAAATCTTATTTAAGTATCTCCTAAAAACAGGATTGCTTTGACTTTCACAGTCTTTTGTCTTCTGCTTTTCACACTCATCGATCTGTAACCACAAAATAAATACAACATTAGTTAGCATCAAAGTTTAATGTAATAAGGGTCAAGTTTCTAGCCTAGTGGCCCCATCGAGATCAAAGTAAGGAGCTCTTTATTTTTTATCAAGCTCGCATTAAAATGTAGATCTCACCTGCTTCTTGTGGGTTCTCTTTGCAAAGGGCAAGTAGGCAACAAATAAGGAACACGTGTCCCACACTGCGCCCTGACTGGCAGTTTTCTTGCTGACTTTCAGCAATTTTAAAACTGAAGATCATGGGCTTCCCTGGTGGCGCAGTGGTTGGAAGTCCGCCTGTCGATGCAGGGGACGCGGGTTCGTGCCCCGGCCTGGGAGGATCCCACATGCCGCGGAGCAGCTGGGCCCGTGAGCCATGGCCGCTGGGCCTGCGCGTGCGGAGCCTGTGCTCCGCGGCGGGAGAGGCCAAAACAGTGAGAGGCCCGCGTACCACAAAAAAAAAACAAACTGAAGATCATGAAACAAGGAAGCAGAGATGTGGACAAGAACACCTGGACCAATCTGCCTCTTCCTAATTCCAAAGTAATGGTTTAACAAAGAAAGGAATGAAAGGAAAAAGGGGGGGAAAAATAACCCAGAAAGAGAGGACAAAGAGAAACAGGGATAGCATGAAGCCGGAAAATGAAGGACACAGCAAAGATTTTCTTGAATGTGCATATTACTTTTGGCCTTTTATTAATTTTTCCTGCCAACTATCGATCACCCCGTACCATATGTCAGGAACCATGGCTTCTCCAGAGTGTCCTACACATGGCACCCCCTCTGCACAGAGTCCTTCATTAGAACAGACTTCCTCTGAAATTAGCTCTACAAACACCACAGTGGCCTAGTCTCTGAGGGAGGGTAGTGCACATCTTACAGACATTTAGAACCTGTGAAAAGTACTTTTTACTTGAGTGTGGACCACAAGTTGCATGGAGCACTGAAGTGGGCTTCAGATGATGAACATACAATAACTGAGCAGCACACACAGACTCAGGACAGAAAGACACTCAAGAAGTCACAGGGCAGTCTCCTCTGCTTTCAGGCAAGGTTTACAAACCCTAAGAATTTTTAGTTTCTTTTTAAGAGAAACAATTTTTTAAGAGAAACGATTTTTTAAAAACAAAGACTAAAGACTCCATTTTACCAATCATGTTGTTACAATGTTTGAACCAAAGCCACAAACAATGGAATGAAAAACTTCAGTAAAAAGGCATTTCTCCATTTCCTAACATCCAGCCAAATTAATTCACTACACCACAAAATGCAGTTAAGACTGAAGCAAATTTTATCCAAGCATTTCTTTGCTAGCACTCGGGTGAGAAAACATTCACACCTGATAAGAACCACAAGCAGCTGCTTACAGATCTCGAATTCGGATATATCTGGATCCCAGTTAAAAAGCCCTCCCAATCTCTCAAGCTGGAAACCTCCCTCATTCACGCTAGCCTTCCCTATCCTTTTCCCCTCCTCCCTCAACCATCACAACTTGCTTATTCTACCACGGAAAAGTTGCACGCTTTCCTCTTCTCTTCACCCTGTCACTGCCTCAGTGTGAGCCTCCAGTGTCGCTGGACCTCTGCCATCCCCCCATCCCAGCCCCCTCCACACTGCCACCAGCACCCTGCCTCACAACCAGCTGAGGTGGGTTCCCACAGCATAACCTGTGTTCAAACTCCCCAGCAATCTTGACTTACTTCCTCTCTCATAAACTCTACTTCAGCCACATAAAGGACTGAATAAATGAATAGCTACCACACACTAAATTATAATAATCCCTTATATTTATAAGAGCAAATCTTATGCTTAGAAACTAGCAGTAGAGCCATTTCTTCATTTGCTATATTTGTTGTTACTACAGCCCAGCACTGCAACAGGTGATAGAGCATCACCTTGTCCCATTCCTTGTCCCAAGAAATTTTCAGTCTGGTAAAGAAATAATTACAGCATAGTGAGATGTTATTACAGCAAAATAGAAGTACTATTTTAAAAATCAAAGGCCAGAGTAACTAAAGAAAAAAACCCCATATATATGTCAATTGTAGTTTAGATAGAAACACAAATAATGTTAGCAATGACAGGAAAACAGAGAGCAATTTAACATACTATAAATAATACAAAAATCATGAATAAAAAAACCTAACCTTATGAGTTAAAGAATCAAGTCTGCTGTAACATTCTGACAATTCATCAGCATGTGATAAGTCAGGACTGACCTCTTCTTTCTCTGATATACCATACTTCACCTAAAGCAAAGGAGAGAGAGATTTTCTTTCTTTATAGCTCAGTTGTAAAAATAACCTACAGTTAATGAGACTAAAATTTTTACTTCATCATTTTATGGCTTTGCTCATTATATTCCTCAACTGTATTAAACCACCAAAAAAGTAAGAGCCTCAAATTTATACACTAGCTAAGAACTAAAATCAAATGAGTTTGCTTCTCGACGGGCTTTACATTCAAATTTGAAACAGAAATAAACAGATGAGGTTGAAATCATCTTAGACTAGGAGGCATGAAGACATTCTGCATGATTGCTAATCATTGATATAGGACTCTCATAGCTCTGTGAAAAAACAATAACAAAAGTAGACTATTTCCATCACAGGACTGAGAAGGTGTTATACACACATGCATTTTTTAAATACCTGAGATCTTCTCATTGTTCCTGAAGCAGCATCATAGTTAAGCATGTCTGTGGGGTCAATCCAGTCATCATCATGAGCATAAGCAGTTATCAGCCACAGACATTCACAAAAGAGCACAGAACACAGCATCCTGCATGAAGGCTACAAAGATTAATAGATATAGTGAAGTATGATTACTTTTGAAGGAAACTGTTTTAATAAAAACAATCCACTTCCTTCTAGTGTTAAGATAATGTTTTCTTAATAATAACTGAAAAAAAAATATTCAGTTAAGTGGTATTCGCATAAAAACACATACACACATGCACACATATTCTCACTGAGTCAAAAAGTATACATAAGATTTTCTAAGTGATTCAGCAATTCCACTTCTAGGTATATCTCCAAGAGAAATGAAAATATACGTCAACACAAAAACTCGTACACAAACATTTATAGTTGCATTATTCACAATAGCCAAAAAAGAGAAACAACCCAAATGTCCCTAAACTGATGAATGAGTACCATACAGTGGAATATTATTAGGCCATAAAAAGGAATGAAGCATTGATACGTGCTACAACATGGATGAATCTTGAAAACATCATGCCATGTGAGAAAAACCAGTCACCAAAAACCATATATTATATGATTCCATTGATACAAAATGTCCAGAATAGGCAAATCTATGCAGATTGGTAGGTATATAAGTTTGAGGGTATAATAAGGGACAGAGGGGTGGTAGTTAAATGGTACAGGGTTTCTTTTTTTTTTTTATTGTAGTTGATTTACAATGTTGTGTTAGTTTCTGCCATACAGCAAAGTGATTCAGTTATACATATCTATGTATTCTTTTTCATATTCTTTTCCATTATGGTTTATCACAGGATATTGAATATAGTTCTCTGTGCTATACAGTAGGACCTTTTTGTTTATCCATTTTATGTATAATAGTTTGCATCAGCTAATCCTAGACTCCTAATCCTTCCCGCTCCCCCACCCCTTGGCAACCACAAGTCTGTTCTCTATGTCTGTGAGTCGGTACAGACTTTTTTGGGTTTTTTTTTTCAATTTTATTTATTTAATTAATTTATTTTACTTTTGGCTGCATTGGATCTTCATTGCTGCGTGCGGGCTTTCTCAAGTTTTGGCGAGCAGGGGCTACTCTTCATTGTGGTGTGCGGCCTTCTCATTGTGGTGGCTTCTCTTGTTGTGGAGCACGGGCTCTAGGCGTGCGGGCTTTAGTAGCTGTGGCACGCAGGCTCAGCAGTTGTGGCTCGCGGGCTCTAGGGCACAGGCTCAGTAGTTGTGGCGCACGCGCTTAGCTGCTCCGCGGCATGCGGGATCTTCTCAGACCAGGGCTCGAACCCACGTCCCGTGCATTGGCAGGCGGATTCTTAACCACTCTGCCACCAGGGAAGTCCCCGGTACAGAGTTTTTGATGAAAAACTCTGATGAAAAGTTTTAGATCGTGATGAAAAACGATCTAAAATTAACTGTGGTAATGGTTGTACATATCTGTGAATATACTAAAAACTGCTGAATTGTACAAAAATGGGTGAATTGTATAGTATGTGAATCATTTCTCAGTAAAACTGTTTTAAAGAAAACAGGTATTTGAACCAAACCCTCCCCATCTCCCATTTTTTTTAACAAATGGGAAATTTAAAAGGTGCAAAATTAAGATTCAAATGATGTGACTGAACTCTCAAACAGAGAAAACAGCTTGCTTCATCTAAGCCTCTGCATAAACACCCTCAAATCGTATCTCAAAACACAGTATCTCCTCTATTCAAGTGTCCAACACAGTAGTCATTAGCCACATGTGGCTACTGAAATTTAAATTAATTAAGATTAAGTTACATTGAAAGTCAGTTCCTCATTCTCACTAGCTGCATTTCAAGTGCTCAGTTGTCACATACGGCTCGTGGCTACCAAACTGGACAGCGCAGATACAGAATACTTCCACCACTGCAGAATGTTCTGTCAGACAGCCTCTCTTATACCTACTCTGAATACGGATCAGGTAAGGGATTTCCAAGATGAGAATGCCCTGGGCCCTGCCCATACATGGCTTACACTCTAGCTGCAGGAATAAAAGTAACTCCAGGCTAAACTAAACACTCTTTTGTGTTCCTGGTGTGCTCTGTTTCTTCTTCTAGAGTATCACACACTGAAATTAACCACTTACTGGGCAGTCTCATCCCTTAGCACCGGGGCTCTCAGTCTTGGCCGTGCATTAGAATCACCTGGGAAGCTTCTTAATCCTCCAATCTTCTGGCCACATCCCAACCCAACTGAATCAGAATCTCTAGGCGAGGGACCCAGGCACTGGGATTTTTAAAGCTCCCCACCGGGTTTCATCACACAATGAAGGTAGAAAACCACTGCACTGTAACGTGAACTTTTCCAGGGAAGGTAACATCTTACTCAAGTCTAAATTCACCTTTCCAATGCCCTCTCCATCTTGCCCCCTCCATCTCTCCAAGCCCAACACTCAGCCCAGTGGCCAGCAAGTGAAAGACATTCAGCAATGTTTGTTAAGCCGCAAATGCAAATGATCAAAGCCTCAGCAGGGATTCAAAGGGTTTTAGGGGCTCACAGGATGAAGAAGCACATCTGACTGGGAGAAACTGGGAAGATTTCATGGAGGAATGGGCATGGGAAATGGACTTTGAAGTATGGGCAACATTCTAAGAGTATGAGATGAGGGAGGCAGAGACAGAGAGGAAAATGTACTCCTCAGAGACTGGAAACACGAGAATGGACATGGCGGAACACAGAGGTGGAGAGGTGGCTGAGATGACTTTGCAAAAGTAAAAACGCTTAAGACTAACTTCACGGGCTAACAATAGCTTTCAAGGGTGATGGGAACTACATTTTGGGAAGATGAAACTAGCATTAAATGTACACTCAGAGAGTTCAACAAGGAGGCTTGAGTAGAAAAAGGATGTTGGTCTGAAAGAGTGATGTGGATGAGAACAGAAAGAACCCATCGGGCATGTTTTAAAGATTAATGCTATAGACCTCAGCAACTGAATGCACGTAGAAGGAAAGAAAGAGAACGATGGCAGACATGACTCCAAGATTTTAAGGCCTACCAACAACAAAAATGGTGCTATCATTTTCAGAACGAGAATAAGGTTTTGGGAGAACGTTCAGCACTCTCTTGTTCAACGTTTACAAAATACCTGCTGGATACTGGGCACTGTCATAAGTGACAGGGCTACCAGGAAACTAGACCAGCCAGGTCTTCTTTAAGAAACTTACACTCTAGTAGGGGATGACAATGAATTGGCAAAAAAAAAAAAAAAATTTCAGATAGTGATAAGTCATATAAGGAAAATAAAACAAGGCAATGGTGTAGATGGAGTAGGTAATGCTGGGTATTTTAGAGAAGGCCTCTGAGGAGATGAAACATGGCCTCAAATTCTCTATCATTTCCCGCACTGAGAGATGGAGTTTGTTTCCTTTCCTCCTAAATCTGGGCTGGCCGTGTGACCAGCCAAAATACTGTGGTAGAAGTAATGCTGTGTTGGTTCTGGGCCTGGCCTAACTACCAGGATCAGCTGCTTGTACTTCATCACTCTGGAACACCTGCTTTTGGGACACCCTCTTGGAACTCAGCCACCACGCTTTGAGAATGCCAAGTCACCTGGAGAGACCACGTGCAGGGGCACACTGAGCTCCCAGTTGGCAGCCAACATCAACGACCAGCCATATGGGTGAGCCTTCTAGGTGGTTCCAGTCCAATCCCTTGGTAACTGACTTGGTGATCCTGCCAACATCATGTGGAAAAAAATAACTACCCAGCTGAGCTCAGTCAAGCCCCACAAGCCACGGACTCATGAGAGATGATAAAATGGTTGTTGAAAGCCCCTAAACTTTGGGGTGGTTTGTTACACAGTGGTAGATAACCACAACATTTAAACAGAAAAATGATAAGCTAACCTTAGGAAGACTTAGGAAAAGAAAACCCAGAGAGAGGGCATAGCAGGCATAAAGGTCCAAGCAGGGATTATGTTTGAAGCATTCAAAGAACGGGCAAGAAGGCCAGAACAACTGGGTCCTGGGAATGAGTTGGAGGGGAGAAGGGGAATAGGCCACAGTAATGAGTGTGGTTTTTACTCTAAGTGTAATAGGAAGCCACCCACTAGAGAGGTGTTTTTTTTTTGAATTTTTGAATTTTATTTTATTTTTTTATACAGCAAGTTCTTATTAGTTATCCATTTTATACCCATCAGTGTACACATGTCAATCCCAATCTCACAATTCATCACACCACACCACCAGCCCCCCGCCACTTTCCCCCCTTGGTGTCCATACGTTTGTTCTCTACATCTGTGTCTCCACTAGAGTTTGAGCACAGACGAGATAGAATCTGGGTTACATTCTACAATGACTGGGGCTACTATGTGGAGGCTGGAAGAGAAGAGCAAAAGCAAGAGACTAGAAAGGAGGATTTGCAGTAGTCCAGTTGAGAGATGAAGGTGGCATGAACTAAGACAGCAACAAAGGTGATGATAAATGATGAGATTTTTAAAATTTGAGGTAGACATTACCACATGTGGCGAAGACCAGCTAACAGGTCACCAAGCACATTCCATCTTCTTCCTTCTGGACACATGGTAACTATACATCCCAGCCCATCCTCCTGTTAAGTATGTGACAATTAAGTCCTGGCCAGCGCAACAGCAGTGGAAGGGATATGCAACACATCCATGAAAGCCTCCCACACGTGACCCTCCATCAGCTGGCCCCCTCGACCATCAGGGAATGGGGAAGGCACTGAGCCCTAGAGGAGGGCAGCCAAACTAAAGGAGTTGGGACCCTAAATGACCACATGCAAGGCCACCTACTAAGTGGGAACATGTTTTTTGACTTTCATGTGAACAAAAATACATTTCTTTTATGGTAAGCCCTGAGATTTGGGGGTTTGTTTTTTTAACACCATCTTGTGCTACCCTAACTAATCCAGAAATACACTGCAGAAATTGCTGGTAAATTGGATGTAAGAAGTAAGGACAAGAAAAGATTCAGGATGACATAAAGGTTTGTGATCATGGCAACTGGGAGAATGGGAAAGACTGAGGGACACTCAGGTGAGTAGATAGCAAGTTCTGACATATCAAGAGTTCTGTTTTAGACACAGTACATTTCAG